CTCCACATCCTCTCCAGCACCTGTTGTTTCCTGACTTTTTAATGATTGCTCAGGGCATAACTCTTTTACCATTTTGGACTGTATCATTTCATTCATATGATAATGACACTGTAGCTCCCCCCTCACCTGCAGCTTCACTTTCTGCCGTTTTAGTTACCTGCGGTCAACCATCATCCAAAAATATTAAATGGAAAATTCTAGAAATAATCCACTCATAAGTTTTAAATTGTGCACTATTCTGGGCAGTGTGCTGAAATGTCGAGCCGTCCTGCTCTGTGTGACCCCGGACGGGAAGCCTCCCTTTGTCCAGCATATCCACGCGGTATGACTCCCACCCGTTTAGCCACGCAGCAGCCATCTCACTTACCAGATCAGCTGTCTCGGTATCAGGGTGTTTGTGTTCAGGTAACCCTTCCCTTGCTTAATTATGGACCCAAAGCCAAGAGCAGTGATGCTGGCATTCTGGGTTTATTTTATTAGTATTGTTGTAAGTCTCTTACTTTGCTTAATTTATAAATTAAACATGATCATAAGTACGTATCTGCAGGGAAAAGATGGTATATATAGGGTTCTGAACTATCCCGTGTTTCAGGTATCCACCGTGGGTCTGGAAATGTATCCCCTGTGGAGAAGGGATGACTACTGTGTATGTAGAAATCACACTGTGTGAAATGTTATATCCTCCCCTTTCCTCAGTTTAACGTTTTGAAAGAATTTTCTCACATTACTTGAAAACACTTAGGAAACCATTTTTAGTGACTGTAGTGTTTTACCAGATAGATACGCCATGGTTTACTTAACTATGTTCCTAATGATGGGTGCTTATATTGGATCTAGGTTTTGCTGTTATTTGTAGTGCTCCAATGGGTGACTCTGTGCACAAACCCTTGCCTGTACTTTTGTGTATTTCTCTGAGGATAGATTGCTGCAAAAAAAGACCCACTGAGTGTGAGACTGTAAATATTTGGAAGGCTTTCAGTCTGTTTCCATATTGCTTTCCTGAAAGATTGAACCAGTTTATACTTTGTAAGCAACGGTGTGTGAGAAGATCTCTTTACTTTCCTTAACATTGGCCTTTGTCATTTCTTAAACTTGACTGGTTATTTTGGTAACCAGCTTGTTTTTATAATTTGAATTTCTTTGCTTCTCAGTGAAATAATAGTTTCTTTTATATGAGGATTAACCATTTGTTAAGAACCACTATTTGAGTCCGAAAGAAAGGTGTATAAGAAGAAAACTGCACAATTCCAGTAGGAAGGACTTGGAGTCAGGGTCCCTGATGTGTTGGAAGGTTGAACTTTTTGTTGGTGGTGTTTCCCCTTGCCTTAAAAAGTCCATATTGCTTGAATGTTGCAGTCTTGGGCAAGGCCAGCAATTAATCTCAGGGACGATGCCACTTTCTTCTCCTGGTGCTGGTCGTTTCTGACAAGAGAGAACACGGTGTTAGGGCTGAGTGCTTGAATGCTTGCACATACGACCCAGAAGGTGCAGATATAACCGGGGGTTCATTCCTTGAGTGCTATCTTTGTGAGATGACATTTTGCTTGTTGTTTGTGTGTTTTATAATGAGGAATCAAAGTGGGTATTCTAGGAAGATCCAGTGTTTCCCTACTCTCACTTTGCATTACACACAGTCCGGGGGGTGACTCAGAATCCAGTGCTGTCCTGCCTCTCCCAGTTAGCTGACACCATTTTCTTGACTAGAGCCTTAGTTTTCTAGGCATATATTCTAATGATGGAACATTTTGAAATGCAGTTTATTTTTGAGTTTATTGAATTTTTTTAATAACACATCTGCTGCCCCTAAATTGTCATCTTTTATATTACAAGGTCTAGTTGCATTAGAAATAGCTCTCCCAACCCCACTCCCCCAGTGCTCAGAACACTGAACCCCGTACTACACTTGGAAAAGGATTGGATGTCCTAAAGCATTGGTTATGTAATTGTGGGTTGGCTTTCACCCACTGAGCTTTACGTCCTCCTGTGATAGTGAAATACAAGCTGGCAACAGTAATTAGATCTCAGAAAAGCTTGTCACAAAGCACCACAGACTGGAGAAACTTGTAAGCTCTTTTTGCACTGGCTGAAGTTTTTGAGTACCACTACCTTCCATCTGTAGAGTGTAGTAACCTTAGACAGGTAGTGCTTTTCTTCTGTGCATTAATTTTAATTAAGCAATGACACCTACTTTCTTTTCCACTCTGAGATCTGCATGTAGCTAAACTGATCAGGTGAGTGCTTTCCCACCTTTGATCATTGATACTGCTTGGAATATACTGGAAAAAGAGCAGCAAGCAGAAAATCTCCCGTTTCCACAAGCTGCTGATTAACCCAGAATTGCTAGATTTTGTGAAGCAAATGAATGCTATAAAAGAAGTCAAAAAAATCGGGGAAGATGTCCCTAGGACATGGTCAGGCCAAACCTTGAAAGATCAAGTGATGTTACAGAGGTACAATTATAAGAATATATATCACTCAAGACTTACATATGTGTTAAACAGTGCATTGCTCTTTGCAGTCTACAAAGGATTTTCTTTTTAATTCTCACAACAATTCTGCAGAGAGAGGTAGTGAGAGGTTTAATGCTTTGTTCGACATAATTTGCTGTTAAATAGCCATCCATTGGCAGAAAATTTGAACTGTTGTGTTTTCTTTCCTGTGTCATTCATGGTTTCAGTCCTGAAGAGAAGCCCACGAGAGCCCAGCAGGAGAGGAGAGTGGGAGAATCCCTCACCCAAAAGTTCTCATTGGCATCATTTAGTGACACTCAGGATGTCTCCAGTTATTGTTAGAATTTAAAGTTAGGTTCATCCCTGTGAGGTCCAAGAAAATACAAAAATAAAATAAGGGTCTACCAGTATTAAACATACTCAGTAATCACTTTTGAAAGGAAAAGAGTTAGTGGAAAAAATGGAAGAACCACAGCAAAACTAAAATAAGTATATAGAGATATATTGCCAGACACGGTGGCTCACACCTGTAATCTCAGCACTTTGGGAAGCTGAGGCAGCCGGATCACTTGAGGTCAGGAGTTCAAGACCAACCTGGCCAACATGGTAAAACCCCGTCTCTACTAAAAATACAAACATTAGGCTGGGTGCCGTGGCTCACATCTATAATCCCAGCAGTTTGGGAGGCTGAGGTGGGCAGATCACCTGAGGTCAGGAGTTTGAGACCAGCCTGGCCAACATAGTGAAACCCCATCTCTACTAAAACTACCAACATTAGGCTGGGTGCAGTGGCTCATGCCTGTAATGCCAGCAGTTTAGGAGGCCGAGGTGGGCAGATGACCTGAGATCAGGAGTTCGAGAACAGCTTGGCCAACATGGTGAAACCCCATCTCTACTAAAAATACAAAATTTAGCCGGGCGTGGTGGCCCATGCCTGTAGTCCCAGCTACAGGGAGGTTGAGGCAGGAGAATCGCTTGAACCCAGAAGACGGAGGTTGCAGTGATCCATGGTTGTGCCACTACACGCCAGCCTGGGTGACACAGCAAGACTCCGTCTCAAAAAAAAAAAAAAAAAAAATATATATATATATACACACACACATACATATACACACCAACATTAACCGGGCATGGTGTCATGTGCCAGTAATCCCAGCTACTTGGGAGGCTGAGGCAGGAGAATCGCTTGAACCCAGGAGGCGGAGGTACTGCACTGCAGCCTGGGTGACAGAGCAAGATTCCATCTCAAACAATATAGATAGACAGACAATGTTAGATAACTGCATAATTATTATATGTGTGTATTAATATATAAAGCAATCACTTTCAGAAGGAATAGTATGTTAAAAAAAAAAGGTAATGAAAGATTTTAAAACAAAACACTTCATGAGACAAGAAGTTAGAACAATTACGACAAACTAAAAGAAAAAGCTGGGAATGAGATCGAATACAGCCAAGTATTTCCTGCAGTTTTAAAACCTCTACTCCCCATTTTTGGTTTCTGGCCACAGATTATGTAATATTTTTCATTACTTGAACTGGAATTACAAAGATTGATACAGAAGGTGGTCTGGTAAGTCGACTGGGTCCTGCTCCTTGTATGTCTTAGGTCCAAACCAAAATGAGTCAATATTTGGACAAGATATCAGCCATGCAGGGCTTATAGGCAGGTAAAGGAGATGGCCCATTATTACAGGGATTTCAAACCAGGCTTAGTATTCTCTTACCCTGGCACTGCCAATTATATTTATTTATTGGAAAATGATAACCTTAGAGTTAAGCTATATGCTTCCAAAAGAGGCACTGCTTATATGAGTTCTGTCATGTCCAGGTTTACATTGCCCATCAGAAAACAGAGCACCTGACCTGGTGCAGCAACTCATGTCTGTAATCCCAGCACTTTGGGAGGCCAAGGAGGGAGGATCGCTTGAGCCCAGGAGGTCAAGGCAGCATGAGCTGTGTTAACACCACAGCACTAGACCCTGTCTCAAAAAAAAAAAAAAAAAAAAAAAAAGTGGGGCAGGTGTGGCGAGAGAGAGGAGGGGAGGGGAGAGGACACCTGATCAGACTCCTCTGAAGAGGGACTTGAAAAGTTTGTCACAAGCCCTGAGTTATTCTGATGGAACAGAGAATTGTTAGATCACAGAATGCAAAGTAACCTACTGCATTTAGCCCTTCAGTCTTTGGCCTAGCTGTAGGCCATTAAGTTGAATAGTGCTGGAAATCGTTAAGAATATAACGGTCAAAAAGGACAGGCAAAGTTGTTTCCCTTCTGGAACTTACACTTTAATGGGGGAGATAGATGATAAGCAAGTAAAAGTAATTGAACAAGGCAATTGCAAATGCCACCCTCAGTGAGCTCTTGAAAGACAAATTATTTCACCTGCATGCCACAAATGCACAGGTGAATGTCTGTGCCTTGAGAAATGCATAAAAGTGACTGAACTTTTGAGGTCCACTGACTGGGCTTTTGTTTGATATTTACTGCTAGTGAATTTTCCAGCCTGCAAATGTCTTAGAACTTCTAAATACATTTTTTTTTTCGTTTAGGTTGCAGAGAACACATCTTAGAAGATGAAAAACCTGAATCTATCAGTGACACTACTGACTTGGCTCTACCACCTGAAATGCCGATTTTGATTGATTTCCATGCTCTGAAAGACATCCTTGGGCCCCCGATGTATGAAATGGAGGTGATCAATTTCTTTTTTTTTTCTTTGCTTTTTGCTCCAGTCAATGAAAAGAACACTTTATTGAGGCCCCAGGGCCATAGGGCCTGGGCAGGAGGCTGCCCTTTGGGGAAGGAAGAGCCTTATTTGATCTTTTTGGGACGTAGGTTGTTGGTGTGGCCACACTTCTTGCAGTAGTTGACAGCATGGGGGCGCAGGCAAGCACAGCTCTTGTGGCAGATCATCTTGTCACAGTTGTATTTCTTGGCAAGGTGGCAGAGGGAAGGCTCCGTAATGCCACCTCGCAGGCGCAGCATCAGGTGCAGGGTGGACTCTTTCTGGATGTTGTAGTCTGAGAGAGTGCGGCCATCCTCCAGCGATTTGCCCTCAAATTATCAGACACTGCTGGTCAGGTAGGATGCCCTACTTGTCTTGAATTTTGGCTTTGGCATTCTCAGTGGCGTCACTCGGCTCGACCTCAAGGGCGATGGTCTTGCCTGTGAGGGTCTTCACAAAGATCCACATCTCAGCGTCTGCGGCTCGGCGAGTCTCGCTCCATTCTCCTTTTTTTCATTGGTACTCACTGATTATCTCAGGTGGTTGCTTAACAGAGAAGTAGAATTGGGTGTTTCCAGAGGCTGAATTTTGCCTTAAGATAGAAACTTTATTTCTGTATGGTATTGCGTTTTAGTGCTTAATGTGATAATATGACTGTTGCCAGGAGCCAGAGATCCCAGCCATATCCTCTTTTAGAACCCCAGTCTCATTTTATTCTCTACCATTCAGTTCCTTTTTAAGAACAATGCCTCTGACTCTTCTCCTTAGAAAAATTCCATATTCTTATGTGTACTTTAATGAGGGATTTCTTTGTGCTGCTATCAAGGGCTTGGGGGAAGAGGCATAGAATCAACCTGATACAGGTGTGGAAACATGAGCATAGCTTAGCTTCAGACTGTGCTAGTGCAGACCCGGATGACATCTTTCAGGAACCTATTGTCCCATTGTTAATAGTTCCTTTAGGGTTAAACCCACATGCAGGTCTAGCCCTGTTTTCATCTTTCTCTCCTAACTATACCTCACAGCAGAAGGCCTGAGCGCCAAGACTGAGTTAGGCAACTGATGGAAATAGATGTTAGAATATAACTGCGAAGGGTGTTGTGAAATAATTTATAGGGTGCTTAGATGAGCCTTCATAGGTTGGTTACTATAAAAATGTTTGTATTATACTACTGAATTTGGCTTTATCATCACCTCCTTATCAGTTTAAGGAAAAAATATTTTCAGAAAATAAATCTGATAAATTATGCAGAAGGTAATCTCTCCATCTAACATTTGAAATCATTACCAGTAGATAGGTTTTCCTTAAGTTCTTACAACTGAGTTGATGAGAAATAGCCCCCAAGCCTGTCTTGTTTATCCATTTAAACTCTAAGCTGGTCATTAAAGCTAATGAGCCTGTCTCAGAGCTCTCAGTTACAAGAATAGAACTTGTTTACTCTTGAGAGTAAATCTGGACTCGAACAATAGAATCAGAAGCATTGTTTTGATTATTTGAATTCTTAAGATATCATGGATTTGAATTTTGAAGTGTTGAAAGAACTTGAGCAAAACATTGTTGATTGAGAAAGTGAACAAAACCCGCTTTCTCGTTCTGGGAGGATCCAGTGACTTTGAGAGTGAAGACACAAACAGGTTTTGACTCCTGCATGGCCGATGGCCTTTTTCTCTAGGCTTCCAGAAAACTACATTCCAACAGTTCTTTGAGGATTTAAACTAGAGCAGCAAATAAAGACAAAAGATTAATGCATGTCTCTGTTGCATATACCCCTCTCGCCCAGCCATCTCTGCTGATGTTAAGTTTGGGAGCATTGCTGACATTCCTGGAGCATTAGCAAAGAAAGAGCCAAGAGAACAGAAATGAGAAATTTTATAAACATTGCTTACCAGCTCTCATTGTTAGCATCAGAGAACCTTATTTTCCTTGTAGCATGTGAGCTTTACGTAGTAACACTTTTACCAATGAGAGTCTGCAGAAAGACTCCAGTAGCCATTTTGTCTTTTATTAATAGCATCTTAGAATGGAGGATGTGGTGTGTCACATGTGTCCATGTGAAGAGCCCACCAACCAGGCTTTGTGTGAGCAACAAGGCTGTTTATTTCACCTGGGTGCAGGTGGGCTGAGTCCGAAAAGAGGCAACGAAGGGAGATAGGGGTGGGGTTGTTTTATAGGATTTGGGTGAGTAGTGGAAAATTATATTCAAAGGGGGTTGTTCTCTTGCTGGCAGGGGCAGGGGTCACAAGTTACTCAGCTGGGGAGCTTCTGAGCCAGGAGAAGGAATTTCACAAGGTTAATCGCTCAGTTAAGGTGGGGCAGGAACAGATCACAATGGTGGAATGTCATCAGTTAAGGCAGGAACCAACCATTTTCACTTCTTTTGTGATTCTTCACTTGCTCCAGGCCATCTGGATGTATACGTGCAGATCACAGGGGATATGATGGCTTAACTTGGGCTCAGAGGCCTGACATGGTGTTTGAGTGTTGGGAACATTGTGTTCATTTTTTTCATGCTTGAAAGTGAGAACTCACCCTGTAGCCTGGGGTCTGTCTCTACCCGGGGTCTTATGACCACCAGCCCCAAATTACTTAACCACACAGTCTACCTCTGCTTTTGTGTCTATAAAATTAAGACTTATAGAACATTTCTTTCTTGCCCATGAGGGCTGTCACTGTGCTAGGAGTATAATTCCATTTTACATACAAGGGAAAAGTTTAAAGAGATTAAATGAGTTGTACAAATTCACATAAAGTGCAGTTGGTAAAGTTGGAATTCAGACTCAGATCAGCTTATTCCAAGTCCATTATTCTTTCTCCCCTTCTACAGCACCCTGTCAGGTCAAGATAATTCCTGCCCTTGGCTGCTAGAAGAGAGTGGCAGTGATATATTAGTTTTTTAAAAAGGCATCTGCTCTACATCAGATTCTCATTCATATTCTTACCAACTCTAGTGCTCTGCTTTGGAATGGGAGAGGCTGGGCTCAACTTGTTGACCACTACCATTTTTGTATCTCTTGGCTGTCAGGCACTGTGCAAGGCCCTCCACAAGTGATCATTTAATCCTCGGTCATGGTTGTCTTTCCAGTAACAGTTGAGGAAACAGGCTTAGAGTATTTAAATAACTCGAGAGAAGACACAACTTATGCCAGAAATGAGATTTGGTTCTAGGCCTGACCAACTCCAAACCTAGTGCTCTATTACTCTAGAAAACGTCACAGGCAACCTGAGCAGGGCCTCTGTTCTTTGCAGAGAGCTCACAGGTGGACCTGAGCAGGGCCTCTGTTCTCTGTGCCTCACAAGTGGCCAGTCTTATTTCTCTATTTCTTTGTGCTTTCCTAGGCAAAGAATCTGAAGAGAGAGGTTACACTAGGAATATTGGAATACATGTTGAGGTGTTCGCAAGATGTTACAAGATACCTTTCGTTTGTTTGTTTTTACTTTTTATTTTTTGAGATGAGGTCTCACTCTGTCACCTAGGCTGGAGTGCAGTGGCATGATCATAGCTCACTGCAACCTCCAACTCCTGGGCTCAAGCTATTCTCCCACCTCAGCCTCCTGAGTAGCTGGGACCACAGGCGTGTGCTACCATACCCAGCTAATTTTTTCTGTATTTTTTTGTAGAGATGGGGTTTCACCATGTTGTCCTATACTGGTGTCAAACTCCTGAGCTCAAGCCATCCACCTGCCTCAGCCTCCCAAAGTGCTGGAATTACAGGCATGAGCCACTAAACCCAGCCGATACCTTTTTTTGTCTAAATGCCTATATTCTCCCTTAGGGTAAATTACAGTCTAGGGTCTGTGGTTTCTTCTAGAAAGAGTTTCATTCATTTAATAAATACCTATTAAGGACCTAACGTGTGCTTCTGGCAATACAGTAGTAAATAAGCAAAGTATGATGTCTGCCTTCATGGATCCCACTTTAGTGCAGGAAAAAAAATCGACAGGTAAACAAATAATCACAAATTGAAGTTGATGCTATAGAGAAAACAAACGGTGGTACTGAGATAGACAGTAACTACTCTAGCTGTATCTGAGGTCTGTTTTAGAGGTAGAAGTAGACATGCTGATGGGAAACAATTGGGGAATGAAGGAAAGTTATCAAAAGGGACTTACCGGTTTCTGGCCAGAGTGACAGGGTATGTGTGTAGTAGTGCCGTTTACTGAGATGGGGAAGACTGGGGGAGGGAGATGGGGAGGGAGTGTTGCAAAGAAAACTGGGGGCTCTTTTGAACACATTAAGGTTGAAATATCCAGGCCAGGTGTGGTGGCTCATGCCTGTAATCCCAGCACTTTGGGAGGCTGAGGCAGGTGGATTGCTTGAGTCCTGGAGTTCAAGACCAGCCTGGGCAACATGGCAAAATCCCTTCTCTACAAAAAATACAAAAATTAGCTGGGTGTGGTGGCTCACGCCTGTAGTCACAACTACTTGGGAGGCTGAGATGGGAGGATCACTTGAGCCTGGGAGACAGAGGATGCAGTGAGCCAAGATCACGCCACTGCACTCCAGCCTGAGCGACAGAACAAGACTCTGTCTCAAAGAAAAATAAAATAAAAGTTTGAAATATTGGCGAGGCATAGAAGTAGAGATATTTGGACATTCAGATCTATGGCTCCGAGGAAAAACCCAAGATGGAGATATAGATTATAGGGTTATCAGAAAGTAGAGGATATTTAGAGCCCCAGAAATTGAGGCTTTGACATCACCTAAGAAAAAAGGAGACATAAAAAAGCAGGTAGCCTAGAAGCAAGCCCTGAAGTACAGCATTATTTAGGGATCATATAGAGAGAAGAGGAGCCAACAAAGAAGTCAGGAAAAACAGAAAGGGACTGGGAAGGAACAAGCCTTCAGGGAAGAGGAAAACCAGGATGTTGTGCTGCCATAGAGACAGAAGAGGAGAATATTTCAAGAAAGAAGGGACATCAGAATGTGTTTACTGTTTGAGAGATCAAAGAAGATCAAGGTCAGAAC